ACAGTCATTGGCCGTTATTCACTTACTTACTTTAGTTCAGGCGTTGTCTATTATAGAAGAGTAGATGAACAGCACTTGAACACGGGTCAGCCACTACTGAGAGACTGGCCAGTACCTTCTGAGGGGACAGGAGGTGGCCTCCTCCCTTGGCAGATTGAAAGGGAGACAGATTCAGATCCCTAAACCTGGAGTTATGGAGATGGGGGCAAGGAGGCATCCAGTGTGGTCATAGACCCGATGAGGGAGAATCGCGTGGGAACTCTGGAGTGGGTACACTCACACAGAGAGAAGTCAGGCCTTGCAAAGCATTGTGGTTCTATTAGCATCCGCCAATCGAAGCAGAGGCTATACATCTTGTGCCAGGCCAGACACATATGTACAGCAGTTCTCTGAAGTGCACAGCCTCTGGCATGTTTGAAAACGAGAGAAAAGAAGAATAGTAGGTATTTGCGATGCTTTTTGAAATGACCCTGAACACAATGCTGCCACACTTACACTTTGATGTATACCTCTAGAAAAGTAATATCTTTGTGTCTAACTTATTTGATTACTATAGTGATTCTTTATATAATTATGAAGTACCTTTCAGTGCCATGTAAATGCCAAGAAATCCACTAGTGATTTTGTAGCAATATTGACTTTTCTTAGAATAAAATGACAAACATTCAAAGGGAGATGTTCTTTCCTTCACAGAGATAATATAAATGCCGCAGTTCAACTTCCTTTCAGTTTGGTGTTGTTTGTACTTGTCACCAGTATTTTAATTCCTTGATGCCTTACATTAAGTTACCACACTGTACCTCTGCCTTGACAGGCTGGTCATTATTATAGCTTTCAGGGTTCATAGCTGGGTAGGGCTGTTAACAGCTTCTCTTTCCCAGAAGCCTGTGCAGTATCTTTCATTAGTATGAAAGCTAGCCAGTAGGGGGAAGCTCCCCACTCAGTACCAACTTGATTACTCGGAATCCCGTGGCTTTTCAGCTATTAGGCTCCGAATCCACAGTCTTCAGCACTTAGGCTCTTACCACTAAGTTCTAGTGGGCAACCAAGAGCAATGGCAGCAACCTGTATTGTTTGACAGATATCTGGAACAATCCAGACAAATAGCTTGAGGGCAGGGATTTCATGCCTGGGACTGCGGGATTTTATTTGGCAACCTCTGGCTTCTGGGAGAAACATTATCATTTCTGCAGGGCAACTCCAGTTCAACTATTTTCCTTTGCTTATATCAGTTTGCACACTAGTTAGTGAGGGCTCAACTTTTCTCACATCCTCACCAACCTGTGTTGTCACTTGTTTTCTTAGCCATTTCTGAATAGGATAGATTAAATCTAAATGTAATTTTAACTTGCATTTCCCTGATGGCTAAGTGTATTAAATACTTTAAAAAATATTCTCAACTATTTGTGTTTGTTCTTTAGATAGTGTTCTGTTCAGTTCCATAGCCAATTTTAAAATTGAGTTTGCTTTCTTGGTGTTTAATATTCTGAGTTCTTTATGTACCTTAGATACTAACTCTCTGTAACACGTACTTTTGAAGACTCATGCCTCTGTCCTCGGATTCTGTATGACCCCAGTTAATTGAAAGTTTATCTTGCAGTATAGACACCTTCTAAGTTGATGAAGTCCAACTTGTTGGTTGTTGCTTCTGTTTTGTGAGAGTCCTTGTCTGAGCCTATCCTGAAGTGTGTGTGCTCCCAGAAGTTTCAGAGTCTCGGGGCTCAGGGGTCACGTTAATATCTTTGATCCATTTGGAGTTGATTTTTACACACGCTGACAGATAAGAAGCAAATTTTAGCTACATTTAGATACCCAATTTTCACAACACCATTTGGTAAAGATGTTGTCTTTTCTCCAATGTCTAGTTTTGACATTTGTCAAAAATCAGGTGGCTGGGCTAGGGAGCCTGCATGGGGCTGGACTAGGCCTTCTGCATGTGTGTTTCGGTTGTGCGGCTTGGTCTACTTGTGGGACTCCTGGCAGTGGATACGGGACCTGTTTCTAATGCTGGGTTGTCTTGCTTAGCCTTAATACAAAGGGAGGAGCTTAAAGTCCTACCTGAACTTGATATGCCATGCTTTGTTGGCACTAATGGGAGGTCTGTCCTTTTCTGAACAGAGGTGATGGAGGGAAGGAGTTAAAGGAGAGATGGAGGGAAGGAATGGAGGGAGGGGGAGGGGAAACTGTAGTCAGGATGCAAAATAAATGAAAACATTCAGTTAATAAACAAATCAAAAAAATCAGGTGGCTGTAGGTATATGTTCTTTCATCTGGTCTTCAGTTTGCCTGTTTATGTGTCAAGTACAATATTGTTTTCTTTACTGTGGCTCTGAAATCTTTGAAATCAGGCATTGTTATACCTCCAGTAGTGTGTGTATTGCTCAGGATTATTTGTGCTACTCAAGGTCATTTGTACTTCCATATGAAATTCAGATTGCATTTTCAATATCCATGAACAATTCCTCTGAAATTTTGGTGGCGATTACAATGAATTTGTAGATTGCTTTTGGTAGGATGGCCAATTTTTTGTTTTACAATATTAACCGTATTAATCAATCCATATTCATGGAGGTCTCTCCATCTTCTGGTGTCTTTTTAAATTTCTTCATTGTTTTAAAGTTTTCATTTTATAGATCTTTCATTTCCTTGATGTATTAGTTATTTTTCTGTTGCTGTGATTAAATACTACTCCCTAAAGTAACTTATGGAAGAAAGAATTTATTTTGGGTTTATGGTTCCACAGGGATAAAGAATCCATCATGGCAGGGAGGTATAGCAGCATCATGCATGGCAGCTGGAGCAGGAAGCTCACATCCTAGAGATAAGCAAGAGGCAGAGAGCAATTTGGAAGCAGGCCAAGACTTTAAGCTCTCAAAGCTTTACCACAGTAACATACTTTCTCCAACAAGGCCATACTTCAACCTCCCTGAACAGTGTCACCAACTGGGGACCAAGTATTCAAAACTCAGAGCCTATGGAGGACATTTCTTATTTAAACAGGCACAATTGGTTAGGTATTTTATTTATATAAGTTAAGGATATTGTGAAGGTATGTTTGCCTTTGGTATATAGCAAGGGCATTGATTTGTGTATGTTAATTTTTGTGGCCTGCCACCTTGCTGAAAGTGTTTGTCAGATCTAGGAGAATCTTTAGGGTCTTTTAGTTGCAGAAAAATTATATACAAATAGTGATACTTGGACTTCTTTTCAATTCCTTCATTTGTCTTAATGCTCTAGCTAGTACTTTAAGTACTATGTAGAATTTGAGTGGGGAGCATGGATACCCTTGTTTTGTTCTGATTTCAGTTGAACTTAGTCCAACTTTCATCCATTTAGCTTTATGATGAATAACATATTATGTTGAGAAATAGTCCCTTCACCATAGTTTCTCCAGGGTGATTAGTGTTAGTTTTTGTACCAATTGAAACCATTATATATATGTCTACATAAATGTATTTTATGGAATTTTAGGTAAATACAGCATAATATGATTCACTATTAATTTTCCAAATATTTGATGTTGTTTGTGCCCTCTTCTTCTGCATTGTTTTTCCTCCTCCTTTCCCAGTGAAAACTCCGCTCCTTGTTTTTCCAATTTCCCTCTTCATAGCACTCATGTCCTGCTATTTCCCTCTCTAGGGATCGTCCGCCACCACATGTGCTTCTTAAAATTCCTGGTTACTGCAATTATTCAAGGTTACATAGTCACATCTGAAGATTTGGATCTAGGAATCACAGATAACAGAGAACACGCAGTGTGCGTCTTTCTGGTCTGAGTTACTCCTCTCAATATATTATTTTATAGTTCCATTTGCTGCAAATTTCAAAATTTAATTTTTCATTACATATAGTGTCTACATTTTCATTATTCATTCATCAGTTACAGACATTTAGGATTTCCTACCTGTCTTAGTTAGGGTTTCTATTGCTGTGAATAGATACAATAACCACAGCAACTCTAATAAAGGAAAACATTTAATCGGGGCTGGCTTATAGTTTCAGAGGTTTAGACCATTATCTTTGTGATGGTGTACAAGCAGACATGGTGCTGGAGAAGGAACTGAGAGTTCTAGATCTTGATCCATAGGCAGCAGAATCAACTGTGTCCCACACTGGGCATAGCTTGAGCATATGAGACTTCAAGTCCAAGCTCCACAGTGAGACACTTCCTCCAACAAGGCCACACCTCCTAATGCCACTCCCTTTGGGCCAAGTATTCAAAGACATGAGTCTATGGGGGCATACCTATTCAAATCATTACCCTAGCTATTGTGTATAGAGCAACAGTGAACAAGGCTGAGCAAGCATTCATGGGCCAGGATGTTGAGGTTTTTGGACATATGCCAAGGGGTGCTGTAGTTTTATAATATGTTAGACTTATTTTTAGACTTGTGAGAATTCTTAAAATTGTTTCCAGAGTGGCTTTACCAGTTTTGAATCCCCCCAACAGTGAATGAGGGTTCCCTTTTCTTAAATTCCTCACAGGTATTTGTTGTTGGTTGTTTTGTTGATTCTAACTATTCTGACTGGGGTAAGATGAAATCAGAGCTGTAATTTGAATTCCCCTAGTTACTAAGATTGTGAACATTTTAAGCCATATTCATTCATTGTGAGAATTCTGTTCAGATTCATAGTCTATTTTAATTGCTCATTTGTTTTGGTAACTCTTTAGATTCTTTATGTATTTGGGGTATTAATCCTCGGTCAGATGTTTAGCTGAGTTTCTTCTCCAACCAATTGGTTATTTTCATAACTGTACAGAATCTCTTTAGTTTTATGAGGTGCCACTTGTCAGTTTTGGGCCTTCATTTCTGGGCAAAGGGAGTCCTTTTCAGAAAGTCATTTCCTGCACCTAGCTCTTGTAGGATATGCCCCAACTTTCTTCTATATGTTTCAGCATTTCAGGTTTCATACTGAGTTCTTTGATTCACTAGGAACTTTTTTTTTTGACCAGGGTGATAGATACGAGTCTAATCTCATTCTTCTGCATGTTTTTCCAGCACCATTTGTTGAAGAGGCCGTCTTTGTCCAGGGTGTTTCTGGCATCTTTGTTGTAATGGAGATGTGACAGCTGTCTAGGGGATTGATGAATTTGCTCCCTGACACGAACAAAGAATTGAATGACTAGGAAGACAGAAGACACAGCTTTATCCTGTCAAGATGGGAGAAGTCTAAAGCTGGAAGTCTATTAAACAGAGGCTGACTTGGGTACTTTACAGTTCCTCTTCTTTCCCCTATTGGTCCTGTATAGATACCTGTCCCCCTCCCCGACTTTCTAGTGATTTCTCCTCATGGAGTCCTCTGGGAACAAAAAGTAGCCCTCTCACAGAGCCTACTTTTGTTTTTCTTGTCCCTCTAACTATGCTTAATACCCTGTGGTTTGAATAAGTATGGTCCCCATAAGCTCATATTTGAAAGCTTAATCACCAGGGAGTGGCAACTATTCAAAAGGATTATAAGGATTAGAAGTGTGGCCTTGTTGGAAGAAGTGTATCACTGGGGGTGGGTGTTGAGGTTTCAAAGGCCCATGCCAGGCCCAGTGTTCCTCTTTCTGCCTACAGATAAGGATATTGCTCTCAGGTACTGCTCCAGTGCTTGTCTGTATGGTGTCTTGCTCCCTACTATGGTGACTTTGGACTAAACCTCTCAAACTATAAAGGAGCTCCCAACTAAATGTCTTCCCTTCTAAGAGTTGCCCTGGTCATGGTGGCCCTGGATAGCAATAGAAGAATGAGTAAGACATACCACCCCCTCAGAGATTGATACTGCCTGCTGTTGGAGGAGTGGGTATTGACTGTTCTACTTACTTTCTGCTCAGAGGAAGTGGAATCTGGGGGGGTCAGTGTAATGGAAAAATTAAAAATGCTGCAGATCCCCAAGCAGTGGCAGCAGGCCATGTGGCAGCAGGCAGTGGGCCCTGGGAGCAGCCAGTCCCAGGCAGGGACAGCTGCAGGTCCCTGAGCTGTGACTGGTCCTGGGCAGGGAGACACACGGTGGCGGGCGACAGAGACATGGATAGGCATACCATGCAGAGTGAGGTTGGATATTTATTTGGGGATTGTGGAAGGGAAGAGGGAGAAGGGGAGAGGGGAGAGAGAGAAGAAAGAGGGGAGAGAAAGAAGGGGAAGGGGAAAAGTGGGAAGAGGCAGAAGCTGCCTCTTTGAGAGGGAGACTGGGAAGAGAGAAGGAACTCAGGCTAGAAGCTGATGAAGATCAGCCTGTTTCAACAAACAGGGGAGGGAGTGGGCGTGGCTTGTCTCTTAAAGAGACAGAATAGATCATTACAGTCAGTCCAAGTGAGGGGTGGTCCAGGGTGCTGTGGCCAAATTCTAGTGGGCAGTGTATCTGGGGCTTCATCTGTAGGACCTCTGTCTTCATCTGTAGCTGGTATATGTATCTATATATGTGAATAATTTCAGTGAAGTTATATCACTTGGGGTACTAATTGTTTGGGTTAAAGCCTCATTCCAGTCCCTGGCAGATTATCCCTATACCCAAAGAGTCTGGGATGTTTGGGTGGAAGCCTCACCCTAGCTCCTGGCATCCATATATCCAAAGAGTCTGGAATGTTTGTATGGAAGTCTCACTCCAACCCCTGGCATTCATATATCCAAAGAGTCTGGAATGTCTGGGTGGAAGTTTCATCCCAAGCCTCCTCCCTTGGGAGTTGCCTTAGCCCAGACTCCACCTCCAAGACAGCCTGCCAAATGATGACCCCCTCCCCAGAGATGCTCAAGACCACTCCCACAGGGTATTTAAACTGCCCCTCAGAGAGCAAACACGTGGTTTTCTAGTCTTCCTTCCCCAGCTCCTCTCTAGGAGAATGGAAATCCATCTTGGAGTATTGGTATCCGTTAAACCTTGGTCTTTTCTAATTCAGTTTGATTTGGTCTGATTCAGATTATTGCATTAGCAGAGAGAGACTTACCGGGGTCAGAAACTTTTCACTAATGCTTCCTCGAAGAACCATAGACCAAAAATCCCCACCCCCAGTACAAAGTCTGAGAAATCTCCTTTCCTGTTGTTGTTCAGGCGAGTCCAAGACACTCCCAAAACAATATAGGCTATTGCTATTGTCTTTGCCCCCATGAAGTAAATTCCTAGTGTTGACGACTCTTTGCTCTTCAGACACAGGACTTAGAGGATTTGAGCTGAAGCTGACCTGAAAGCCTCTTCCCTGAGGACTAGCTTTCCCAGTAATGGAAGGCGCTGTACAAGCTGCTGGAAGAGGGAAGCCGTCAACTGTCCTACTAGTCTGTGAGGCCTATGACCAAAGCATGAGCAGCATTGGTAAGATCTAGAAATATAATAGTGACAGTTATATTTTGGTGGCAGCCAGCGGCTGTCTAATTGGACTTATGGCTCCGGTAAACAGTGGGAAATCATGCCTGGTACTGGAAACTCAACCAACTTCCTGTTGCTAATGAGCTCATGGATCTTCAAGTAGAACCTACTGGTGCCATATCTGGTAACAGTAATTAACCTAACTGCATTCTGAATATTTGTCCTTATACCCACAGATATGTGTAGCTCTCACCCCTCATCAAAGACGCTTCCCTTTACAAAAGACAGAGACAATCCAGAAAACCCCAGTGGTCACAGTGCAGAGAACAAGTGATGGTAGGTGCCAACCTGAACTGATCCATCTACCTAAAACCCCCAACTCTAAAGTTCATGGAACATCAGAGAGGGCACGGAAATTTCAAGAGTCTAAGGACAGGTAAGTTTGCTGTGAGATCGTGTCTACTAGAAGTGACAGGGAAGTTACAACCATGATACCAGCAAAAATATGGCTGCCCAAATGAACCCGAATAATGACTACACCAATAGGCATGCTTACTTTAAAGGGGGAAATGTCATGGGACCGTACCCCTAGACAAAGAACTGCAGGCACCTGAGAATGCTAAAAAAGGGAGAATTAGTCTCCCCAGGACTGAACCTCCCAATCTCTTATCCACAAGGGGTCAACCCTGAAAATCATATATATACAAGTAACATTACATAGACTCAGAAGATTTATTTATATATTTATGTATGTACACATACATGTACATATGTAAATATATATTTATGTATATGAAAGAATAATAAAGAAAAAGGGCCATGAATTTGAGAGAGAGTTAGGGACAGACATGAGAGGGGCTGGAGAGAGGAGGAGGAAATGATGTAATTATATTAGATTTTTAAAACTTGCTTAAAAAAAACCAAAAAGAAAGAAAAAGCATGATAGAGATGAAGCTCATCTCATGACCCTATCTCTCGCATCACTTTGTGGTCTGCCTTAGCGGCCACATAGAGTCAAATAGTCCTTTGTATGCCTATAGATTTAGAACTTGTGTAGTTATTGATGTCTATAAACATACAAAGTTTTGCTTGTGTGTGAACTTTACATAAAAGGAAGTAAGGAAAAATGAAACAGAATTCAGAACAATATATCTTAAACAATTTCAATTATTAAACTGCCTCTTTTCTGTCCATCTTTCCCACCTCCCTCCCTTCCTTTCCTTTTCTCTGTGCATCCATACTTTCCCTCCATTCTCAATTTCTTGCTGCTTTACTCTTTGCTTAGTGATGTGGAAATAGTTGTGTGGTTGTTCACCTGTTTTCTTCATTGGTATCCTCTTGTGCCAATGGAACACTTCTGTGCCAAATCCCTGTGACGTAGGAAAAGGCACTGGCAGCGGCATAGAGGTTTGCTGAAATGTCTGCATATGCCAAAGATCCTGACAAGTACTTAAGAGATACTGACTGACTTTGGACAGGATCCTGTTGCATTTTCCCATTTTCCCAGGGTTGAAGTGTGCATCTTGACTGTCTCTTGAGAGCATGTTGGCATCAGGAAAGGTATGAGCATCGGTCTCTGCAAGACTCGGAATATCTAACGGAGATAGTGCCTACAGAAAGCAGGTATGCTCTGCGCTGGCTGCTTACTGTTTCTGCCCTTTGTCTACATGGATCTCGTGATGTGGACATGGAGTCATTGCGCTAGAGTGGGGTATGTTCGTGTTTTTGAGGTGAGTAAGGACATGTCTTCGGTCTAGTACAAAATAGCCCATTGAGCAGCACATGACAGTGAGAAGGTTGAGGTCAGTGCTTACCTTTGTTGAGCTGTGCATCCTTCCTCATCCCATGTGTGGAACCGGGGTCAGGTCACTATGGGGGAGCAGCTGTCCAGAAAATAGGGTTTGCTGAACTAATTTTGGGCAGTTGAAAGTGCCACATTATTGCTGCAATGAGTGGAGACAGCGGAGTGTGGCTTTCTGTCTGCTTTCAGCTCTCTCTTCCAGGTGATTCTGCTTTTTTGTTGCAGTACCAGCAAGAATGAAGAAGGAGGTAATGTCTGGCCTTCCAGTGGGACAGATTGGAAGCAATAGAGATACAGTAATCTAAAACATATTAGAAGATACTTTCTGAGAGCAATCTTAGGTTATTCTTAAAGATACTCACTAGAAAATTCATTGGCATACATTTCTATTTGACTTATTTTGCTGCTGTAATTAAGAAAAATTTCTAACAACAGGTATGCAGTGATGTCAAACAGAAACCCCTTTTGATATTACCAAACGAAAGTCAAAAAATGCTCCTCCTTCCCCTGGACTTCTTGATTCCCTTTGGTGTGTTCCACCCTAGAGTAACATGGCACCAAACAGACAGTTCCTTGGCATCCAGGAATTTTATGTTCTATTATGTGTGTGTGTCTATTTATAGATCTGTATACAATTGGTGGGAATTTTATACATAGCTACAATGAAAGATAATTATGTGTGATCCTCAGTTTCCTTCTCCAACTTCTGTCATGTTCCCCCAGCCCCCAGCACGCCCCCTCTTAACTTCATGTCTTCTTTTTTGTAACCCTCTCAGCCCAGTTATTGCTCCCTAAAGGAAACCTAGCAGTAAAAACCCTCAAAAAGCAACGGTTCTCCTTCTCCCCGCAGCTGTTGGCTGTCAATAGCGTTTCTTCTTTAAGGAGAGAATCCAGAAGAGCACCCCTCTCTGGGTGTGGGCTGACTTGATCTTCTGCAGGTACACACAGCTTATGTCAGTTCATGACTCTGGTCACCACGTCATGTCCAGAAGACAGCATGTTTTGCAGTGGCAGCAGTCAATGAGGAGATGCAAGATCGGTCAGAGTGCTCAGAGGAAGACTGCTCTGTTTCAGAGAGGTGGTGAGATGCAGTTTGGGTGAGCAGAATCAGTAGCCAATGATGGTGGGCCTGCTGAGGATGTTGAGAGATGTTTACTAGCATACATGCTTGGATATAGTTGGCTCCTTGTACAGTTGACGTACGTGAGTGCGTGCGTGCGTGCGCGTGCGTGCGTGCGTGCATGTGTGTGTGTGTGTGTAAAATAACAGTTAACAAAAAGCAGACCATGAATTTTAAAGAGAGCAAAGAGGGCTATACAGGAAGGTTTGGAAGGAGGAAAGTGAATACAAAAATGTTGGAGTTCTATTATCTCAAATATAAAAGAAAAAAGGAAACTAATAACAATTAACTTAAGAAGACATTAAAAGGTGAAAACAGTAAAGCAGGCTGGGCAGGCCATGACGAGCAAGCACATCGGTGAGCAGCACTCCTCCATGTTCTCTGTTTCAGTTCCTGCCTCCAGGTTCCTGCCTTGACTTCCATGGATGGTGGACTACAAGCTAAGAAGAAGGAAACGATTTCCTCCTCCCAGGTCGCTCTTGGTCATGGTATTTTATCACAGCATTGCAGACCTGCGGCTCCACATATGTAATTCTTCCCATGGATAGGATCCAGAGTTGGGTAAGGGCATTGATGGCTTTTCCCCACAACCTGCATGGGGCCTTCCAGCACTGTGCACACCAGCCAACAGAGTGGAAGCTTCCAGCTTAGCGCTAGCTTCCTTCAGTAATGTAGTTTTCCCATCTAGTTCTGGCGGCTGACCTAACAATGGCAGTACCCTCCATTGTTTGGGAGCCTCTAGCCAACAACTCAGAAGGAAATAACCCACAACTGGCGTTGAGATTTTTGTTTCAAAATCTATGATTTTTGTGAGCAGCATTATTCGTTCGTTAAGGGTATCACCATTTAAAAATTTTAGCTCTCTAATTGGACTTAAGGCCTGCTTAATAGGAGAGAAACCACGGCTGGTACTGAAAACCTAGCCAGCTACCCAGGGCTAGTGAAGTCATGGATCTTGGAGGGGAACCCACAACCACCACTCTACTAAACCATCATAATCCCTAACTATGCTCTTAACTCCTTGTATTCACAGATAAGTAGAGTCCTCTCTCATCATTTTTTTTCTCTTTGCAACAGACAGAGACTGCTACAGAAAACAACAACCCATCAAGCTGCGGAGTTGTGGAGCCTGTCCCAATGGATACATCTGCAAAACAACTGCACCTAAGGCTCTGGAAAGATTTTTAGAATAGGAGGCAGAAAGATTCTGGGAACTAGAGGATCAGGGAACAAGCTGTGAGGCTCTGTCTCCTAGTAATGCCATGAGTTACCCATAATGTGCCAGCAGTGTGACTGCCCAAACATAAGCTGAACAAGGACAAAAACAGACATGCCCAAATGGACAGGGGAAGCCTGCTAGGCCTCAGCCCTATACAAAGAACAATGAGGCAGCTAAGGAATACTGAGAGCTGAAGAAACAGTCTTCTCCAGAGAAGAGCATAGCTGTTGTTTGTCCCATACCAAATGATCAGTCCTGGAAGCATACATACAAGTAACATGATAAACACTGAGGGGCTATATTTAGAAGTAGATATGTATATACATCAACATACACATATGCATGAAACCAGTTCATGAAAAAAGAGGCCATAAATTTGAAAGAGAACAAGGAGGGGTATATGTGCATCTTTAGAAGGAGGAAAAGAAAGGGAGGAAAGGTGGAATTATAATGACAAAAAGAAAACAAAGCTTTAGTTACCTTCTAAATTTAAGAAGTTTCTGCATGGCTGTTGCCTCTGTCCTAAGTTTCGGTTGACCCTTTTCTCAACCCCATTGCCCCTGACACCGTCCCTGTTTAAGCCTTTCTAGTCCTTGTATTCCCCCAATGGCACTTCCATGTCACAAGCATTTTACTGGCCCTTCCCTCAAGAGCGACTCTTGCTCCCTGACTTCTACAGACAGTAACTCCTATTTAAACACAGAAATGTACAACTGTGTGAGAGAACACATGTGGCTGCTGTGGCCATTGTGACAAAGACGCTCAAACATACATTAGACAACAGGCAGGCATCCTGTTGACGTATAGTTCTGGAGAAACCAGACAGACACATGTAGAAGACTACAACTGGATTCCTATCATTTATCCTGAAGAAAAATCAGTTCTAAAGGGATCAAAGAACTTAATAAGAGACCTGAAATTCTGAACATGTCATAGGAAGGTAGAGGGAAAATTCCACAACAGGGGGTACAGCCAAGAACTTTCTTAAAAGGTTCAATAGCTCAGGAAATGTTCTACGTATTTGGTGGATAGGGTTATGAGTAATTAACAGCTTTCTCCACAGCAAAAGCAAGTGCACTGCCGGAGTGAAGAGACAGCATTTGGAATGGATGAAAGATATTTGCTACATATCCAGCAGGCAGAAAATTAATGAATACACAGATAATCCTACCAACTACAAAAGAACCAAACAACGTAAAAATGAGTCACTAAAGCAAACACATTTCTCATGCATAATATATGATCTGCATATAAACAAGAGGCGATTGATAGGGCAGAATAAGGAGACCAGGAGGTGGGGGGAGAATGTGGATGAGGAGAAAATTCAGTGTATGCGGCTTGGAAATGGTTAAGGCACACTTGATATTTGAGCATAGAGTGCATTAGACTCCTTGCTGTTTTCAGTGTGTGCAAAGCAATTTAAAATGGATGAACAGGTCTGTCTCCCCTCCTGAGATCATGTGGGTGTCCAAGAGCCACGCTGCAGGTTAAAATGACCTGGGAACGAGCTGTTGGAGACGGCAATGTCTGGGTCCACGGTCGTGTGAATGCCCACGGCTCATGTTGCTCCCAAAGGTAGCACGGATACACAGGTCTGGGTTGCCATCTCCAGTCATGTTGGTGCCTGAGGGCCCTGCTGCCTCTGATTCCATGCGGGTCTGCGCGACCTGAGCTTGCTAAAGAAGGTCATGATGATATCTGGGTCTCAGCTGCACCTGGGGGACAGGTCTGGGTCTGTGGGCCTGCAAAAACCAGGGTCTGCGTTGACGTCCTGGGTGGCTCCAGTTGTGACTGAAGTCCCCGCAAGTGCCTGGGGTACAGGCCACCACCTGAGGGCATGATGCTATCTGCAGACCATGCTGCAGGTAGGCCATACAGATCTGAGTGGGCTGCCCAGCTACCAAGTGTCATGGTGACATCTGTGTCAGGGCTGCAGCTGAGGGCTATGTGAGTCCATGGTCCTGCTGCAGCTGGGGTCTGTGTTGCTATCTGTGGCCTGTGTTACCACAGGGGGCCATGAGAACCATGCACCATGAAATCCAAAGGCGAGGCTAAGCTGGCCCTGCCATTCTCTAGCTCCTGGGAAAGCTGACTCTGCCCCTTGCTGGACACTGTAGCAAGACAGGGAACTGGTGAGCTGCCCCTGCACTTGGGAGAGGTAGTCCAACCCCTCCTGGCCCTGATGGCATGGGCATAGGAGAGCTGGCTCTGTCCCACACCTGAGTGGGGCAGCCCTAGCACCCAGGTCTGACAAGCTCAAGTACAATTGGGACCCATTCAGGGCCTTAGTTTGGCCCACCCTAACATCTACCCAAGCTATGACCTGCTAGACCACATGAAGGAAATGGTCCTGTGGAACTAGAATCACAGCATCTCCATGACTCGGGGTGCCCTCCGGATTACTGAGAGGAGTTTCAGAGAGGGTCTAGTGATGATGATAGACCAGAAACCAGAGGCCTTGAACCAGACCATCGCAATGAACATTGCACATAAAGCTGATAGGACAAAAGGGGATATGTTCTGCCTATGTGACACACCTTGGCTCCCAATGT